GATAAGCAAGTTACCCGATGAGTTGTTATGTAAGATACTCTCGTGTCTCTCCACGAAGAATTCGGTTCGCACGAGCCTTTTGTCTAGAAGGTGGAGAAATCTCTGGTCAGCGGTTCCAACTTTGGACTTGAAGACCAGGAATTTCGAAGATGATGAAGACTTTTGGGATTTTTTCGATGCTTTTATGGAGTCTAACAAAGATCTAGACTTGACGACATTCAAGTTGCTCTACAATATTGGAGAGCATACTCATAAGAAGTTTGTCTCGAGAATCGATGAGGTGGTGAAGCGGAAAGTTTGTCATCTAACGTTTCTGAACATAGGTGGTGTTGAGAATGATTTTGTTAGGATGCCTCTCTCGCTGTATTCTTGCGCGACATTGGTGAATTTGGAACTCTATTCTGTACTCTTTGATGCTCCCGGATCAGCATTGGTTTATTTACCTTGTGTCAAGACCATGACTCTTAAGGGAGTCATGTTCGATGGAGATCAAGTCCTGACGTTTTTCATATCACGTTGTCCGGTTCTTGAAGAGTTAGTCATGGTCACGCATCCTGGTGAGCAACCGCAAGTTATACATGTACGCTCTCGGTCACTAAAAAGCTTCAAACTAGAGTCTACGCGTGGTGAAGACTGTGATGAAGATGAACATCCGGGTGATCCTAAACTTGTAATCTTTGCCCCGAGACTTGAGTATATGAGTGTTTGTGACTACCAAGCTGATAGCTGCATTATACGCAAAATCGGTGCCTACGCAAAAGTGGAAATTGATTTGGTCTTGAATGTTGACTATGATGATCCATCGGATATAACTATGATGAGGAATTTTCTCACTTCTATATCCACAGTTGGCGAAATGATCATTTCTGGTAGAAGTCTAGAGGTACACATTCAATAACACTAAAGCTTGGTTGATTCAATAGTAATAAGCTTGTATACTTTGCTAATGGCTTTTTTTTTTAATTCGTTTCTTGTTATATAGATGATCGATGATTACCGCGAACTAGAACCATTGCCTCAATTCCCGAATTTGTCTTGGTTGAATGCTTTTTCTCTTGACAATTCGTGGGAAGAGTTGCAAACCTTTCTTGGTTATTGCCCAAATCTATACTCACTCGAATTGGTGCGTATCACTTGCCTATGCTCTTGTAATCACCTTGATTC